AGCACATCCTTCAGCACATACAGGCATGGTGCCGAACAGCTGCTGCAAGTCTTTCATGAAATCTTTTGCAAGCCCATAGAAAAACATAATGCTATGTGTGGAACAAGTGTTTGCACTGTGCTTGAGTCTGAGGTAAAGAATGAGTTTTAACACCAGTGTTGGATAAATAACACAAGAAAAGTGGGTATCATGGGCATTTTTTTTAAAGTGAATGTGACACTGTGGGTAATGCACGTCTAGTTTCTAAACAAGAGTGCAGTCAGTGAGGGAAAATTTCAATTCTAGCATTTAAAAACAAAACAAAAAAAACAACAACTTTATTTCAGCTAGACTTAAATTCACGGCACCTTTACCTGGACCAGCTGAGAATTCGTACACCAACAGCTAATGTTACTGGCTACAGAGGCACTATTTACATACAAAAATACCTGCACGCACCCACAAGCTCTTATGCATGCACCACACACACTCTGTCCTTCACACAAACACAAACACAGCTTGACTAAGCAATGCTAGGTGTATTAATTTCTATGACTAAACAAAAGTGCTGCATTTCTGTCTGTGAATAAAAATTTATGATACAGTACACTAAATGATACATACAGATTCAAAGTGTGATCACGTGGAAAAGGGAAAGAAAAGTGCCCAAAGACTGAATATATTCTACTATACACACCCGTCCCCAGACTGATAATGGTAACACTGGTTTCTGATGAAACTCCCTTAATTTCCAGACACTCTTTTATACACCTGTACAAGTTTGATAGCTGAGATATTATTACACTTAGCTTCCAACAACATCTTGGTTTTATTTGATCTTTTCCTCTTTTGGGGAACTGAAAAAACAAAACAAAAGAAAACTTCATTGTCAAGCTCAGGCCCTCCACCACACGAAGACAAAGGGAATTGGGTAAGAAGCTTGCTGGAAGTAATGAGCCATCTGAGGATGCAGTTTTTACTTTCTTATTTGGTTATTATGGGTTCCAGTTTGGGGTTGATGAAGGAAAAGCCAGCGAAAGCTGCCTGGTCCATAGAATCAATGAGGTTTTTGTCAGCATGGGAGAGACGCGGCTTCTCATTCAGGAACTCACGATCAAAGTTGCTGTGGTCACTGGGGGATTTCTGTTGGTGGGAGGTTAGGCATTTAGTCAGGTTAAAGTAAAAAAGAAAAAATAAGATGAGGTATCTGATATCCTAGAGGCAAGCACTTATATTTAATGACAGCTCTAATTAATAGCTGTGAACTAATGTTAATTAAAACCAAAATTTTAGGCCCATACCACTTTAGGCTTGAAAGGAGGCTCCACTTGTCTCCTCTCCAGTGCTGTCCAGTTAATGTTTTTGAAGAATGGGTGTCCTCGGATGTCCCCCACAACACCCAATCTGCGAGTGGGATCTCGCTCAAACAACTGAAATAATAACAGAACACAATAGATCTTATTATGTAACTATAATTCCACAATACACATGTTTGCCTAGTAATTTATTCATTTATATTTTTACCAGGTCAAGCAGGCTCTTGGACTCCTTGGAGATCCACCGAGGGTAGTGAGGAATGTCCGACCTGATGGATTCAAAGAGCTCATCCTCATCGTCACCTTGGAAAGGCGACTGACCAATTAGCATCTCATACACCAGGACACCAAAAGACCACCAGTCCACGGAGAATGTGTACTTCTGTCCACACAGGATCTGAGATAAGAGACGAATTGATTAGAAGCATGGAAGAAGAATGAGGAAATGTGATGTCTGGAGTGTTCTGCTCTTGTTACATAGTATTACAAAGAGACTGCAAACAAACGATTCAGGTTGCCACCTGAATGACATACAGATTGTGGCTTTTATAAAAAGATGCAAGATTATGATGGAAAAGTAAGGTATTGAAACCTTAGCCGGGCAAACTAACCTCCGGTGCGATATAATCTGGTGTCCCACAGAATGTGCTCGCTTTGACATCTCCAAAGACATTCTCTTTGCACATGCCAAAGTCTGCTATCTTTATGTGTCCATCCTTGTCCAGCATCACATTGTCCAGCTTCAGATCTCTGTAAACAGATATAGGATGATATTTAAACAATGTAGGACTGTCACAGTAAATTCAGTTTGAAGCCATGTAATCTAAAACGAAATTTCAGTTTACTCTGCTGCAGTAGCAGACTGAATGCAGAGAATGCAGGAAGGAGTACAGAGAGCCTGTGGGATTTTACCTGTAGATAATTCCCTTTGAGTGGAGGAATTGCAGTCCCACTATAATCTCAGCAGCATAGAATCTAAAAGTTGAGGAAATAACAGTTTTAGTACGATTTAAGACCCAATGACGCTGAAAATGTTAACTCATACAACACTTGTAGCTTTTTTTCTTTTCTTCCTTTTTTAAAACACTGAATCCTCATGTACTCACGTAGCTCTGTTGAGATCAAATCGTCCCTTGTCTTGGATGTGAAACATCAAGTCACCTCCATTCAAGTACTCCATTACAAAGAAGAGGTGCTCCTGTGCAAATAATACATTATCGTAAGTTAACCAGCAGACGTAAAGGAGATATGGAGAGCGGGGTAAGTTGCTCACACTAATCCATTTTCTCGGTACGCCGAGAGTCCGCACTAATCTGACAATTAAGAAGTTCCAAAAACCTTAAAAGAGTTTTATATTAACACAGGGTCATTAAGTCTTGACAGGCAGAAAAAGTAACTTTTTAAAATAATTATATAGATGGCAAGGCTCGCTGCCTGACTGGCTCTCATCAGTTATTACTTACTTACTACTATTGCATGGCACTAAATTTAATATAGATAATGAATTACAGGCATTACAGGTGTTGTTTTCTATGCCCGTAGCTGTTGTGCAGATAAATTCAATATTTTACCACTGCTGTGTGTTCCTTTGAACTGAACCGCTGTTAAAACAGTGTTTATTTTAAAACAAACGGAAAGAACTGAATTGTTGAGGATGCAGCCTTTAATGACAGCTTGGAACTGTGACTCTTATTG